CAGGACACGCTGCGCTGTGACACGGACAACGGGCTGGAGGGAAACTGGAGCGGGGACCCTCCCGAGTGCCGGGGTGAGCACATTATCACAGCCACCCCATACCCATCACCACAACCACCCCATAGCCACAACCGCCCCATTATCACAGCCACCCCATACCCATCACCACAACCACCCCATAGCCACAACCGCCCCATAGCCACAACCACCCCATAGCCACAACCACCCCATAGCCACAACCACCCCATTATCACAGCCACCCCATTATCACAGCCACCCCATACCCATCACCACAACCACCCCATCGCCACAAACACCCCATTATCACAGTGTCTCATCCCGCTTGAAAAGAGGGAGTCGGGGAGGACTCTTTTAATAGATTTCTCAGACAAAAAATAAAGTGCAAATGCAGCAATGTTATATCTGAGAGCTGTTTATTGATAAAGAAGGGTAAGTGTTCTTACCACTTCCTACCAAGGGGGRATAGAAAAGGAAACAAAGAGGGAAAAGGAGAAACGGAGAAGAAAAATCAAACTAGTCTCTCTCACACAGCCACCCCATTCCCATCATGATAACCACCCCATGGCCATCACCATAACCACCCCGTTATCACAGCCACCCCATTCCCATCATCACAACCAATCACCCCATCACCACAACTGCCCCATACCCATTGCCACAAGCACCCCATTATCATAACCACCCCATTCCCATCATCACAGCCACCCCATCATCACAGCCACCCCATTCCCATCACCATTACTGCCCTATACCCATCATCACAACCACCCCATACCCATTGCCACAACCATCCTATTCCCATCATCACAACCACCCCATAACCATCACCACAGCCACCCCATACCCATCACCACAACCACCCCATTCCTCAGCACTCACCCCCTCATCACAATCACTCCCTGGGCTGATAATTACCCTTAATTCCTTCCTCTCAGAAAGGGAGGGAGCACCGTCTGCCCAGGAATTGCAGAGGGTTTTATTTCTAGGGGAGCAGCAGAGGACCAGACATGATTTTACATTTTTCCCCTCAAGAGGAAC